GTGATGCTTACACAAGAAAGCAGCTGCTTAGAAACAAACATGAATCAATTCGATTCCACTGACATTAATGTCACTAAGCACTCAACAAAACACCTTTGTATTTAATGGTTTTATATATATGTATACTTACAGATATTATGCGATGTTTTCAAGAGTTTAACTTCGTAAACTATAATGTTGTAATATTGTTCCCACTAAGATCCACATACTATTAAAAAAAAATGTGACCAAAATGTACAACGAAAAGCAAGGAAGACCTCACTGTTCGAAAGTAAGTCCAGAGAAGAACATTCAAGCCGTATTTTACAGTCAAAATCCCTTCCATCTGAGTAGTCTTTATTCAGAAGTGGGGGGGGGGGGGAATCGTATACTTCAAGTTAAAAAATAGAGCAATATATATATATATATAGAGAGAGAAATGTAATGATTCAGTACAAAACCTACAATTGTGTTATACGTCCAATTCGATATTTTACACAATATTACCAAACAGAACGCGGAGACAGCAGCTTTATTTGGGAGTTGGGAAGGTCGTAGCGGCTGGCAGGAAATTAAACACAGGGGTAATTCAGCATGGTGCCAATTTCACAGATGCTGTCGGCCTTGCTTTGTACTTATAGCTGACTTGCAAATTAGACATACACTATAATATTTTTCGAAATTACGTGTGATAAACTGATAAAAAACTGTCTTTTCAGTTCTATATATATACGTAGCTTACTAGAAAATACTGATAATGAATAATTAAAATTAACAAAAACCTAACGTGTAGTTCAACGACTTCTTAGTGTCGTTATTTATCATACTGCTACAAAGAGTACATTTCAGACGTCAGTTGTTTTTTTTGTGTGTGAGATCTCTGGTTACACTGTACGGTAATAAAACGTAAACATGTTATGTTCACGCCACGTGTTATTCATTTGATGGAACATAAATGATCTTTGCATCCCCCATTCTTTTATTATTACTTAATTAACTAAAATAGAGTCAAAATTATAAAATTCGTAATAAAAAAAAAACTTTTTAATATTAGTTTCTCTGCGTTTCAGCACACGTTTTTTACGAAGAAACCGCCAAAAACAACACAACACACCACTAATTGCATTTACCAATTTCCGTCTATCCAATAATAACAATACTTAATCACTCTGACACACCTACTGTTGTCTTCTTGAACTGACGTGTAAAAAAATAATTACGAGTTGATATTTTAAAACTGGATAGAATAGTTTCATAATCAGACCTCGGGTTCAAAGATCAACTCGTGTTCTATCGTTTATCGTGAAGCCTAAGCAAGAAAGGAGCAGCTTAAAAACAAACTTCTATAAAACTCGATTTAACACGTGTGAATATCAACGTGTACTCAGGAATTTGTTTTTTCTAATGGAAAATATTTAAATTGCATTTAATGGTTAAAAGATATGGATATTTTCAACAGTACATTTTCGTAAACTAATATTATATTTTTGTTCGCACTAAAATGTGCCCTAATTAGTTACTTACACGATTCTTGTTAAACCTGTAACCAGAAGCTGTGGTATAGCCTGTTCCATACGATGAAATGCCTCAGAATGTTTAGATGCTAAGTAATTAACTCATTAAAATACAGCATGGTAAGTCTAGCAACACATAAGCTTTACCCAAGTAAAAAAAAAAAGGCAAAAAAATATGCTCGTAATGTCATTATATCCTAAGCATCATCTTAAATGCTACAATTAAGAATCTAGAGTGTATTTCATAAATATAATGACCTGAGTAGCTGCCATCTAGGTATTTTTTAAACTAAATATTTCTACACTGAGTTTGTTGAATTTCGGGCAAAGACACTCGAGGGCTATCTGCGTTAGCCGTCTCTAAGTTGAAAGCGATAGACGAGAGGGAAGGCAGCTAATTCACATCACCCACCGCCAATTCTCTATAAACAATGGGATTAAACGACACATTGTAACGGCCCCCACAACTGAAAGGGCGAGCATGTTCGGCGGTGGGATTGGAACCCGCGACTCCCAGATTGCGAGTCGAGTGCCCTAACCACCAATAGTGAGTTTAGCCATTTCTTGTCTTCATTCAGTTGAAACTTTGCTACAGATCAATTTACTAGTGGAATAAATATTAAGACAAATGTATTTGTCAAACTGTACGAAGCTCTCGCATTTATGAAAACTGGCAAAGCGACCATCTCAAATTAAGGTCAAGATTCTAGCACTTGTCAATGCCACTTGATTATTCTGTGTACTCAGGTAACTACACGAAGAAGCTGCTTAATTTATTATTTTTTATGCCCAAAATTCAAATCTACTGAAACAGTTCTGGAAGGAAAGAGACACAAAATGTACTTTGTTATTCAAATACAGACTATGTACGCCGCTTGTTCTCAGAAGCTAATCCTGTATACTTGCCCTAAGAAAGTAAGATGGCTCCGAGTTTAAAATGAAGACATCAACGGTAACTTCATGGACTTACAACCCTTAAGTCCTGGGTTCGAATCCCTGCGGTGGATGAGTGTATCTTTGCGCTAAAACCACAAACAAACAAACTTTCAAGGTTGCCCTTGCACAACCACATTGGAAAAAAAATATATAAATCTATCCTTTGTCTTTCTGGAAATCCCCGATTCCCCTCTTAAATTCTCGGCCTCCACTACTACTTACGGCAAATCATTCCCTAATCCAATAATCCTGCTAGTAAAATAAACGTATCATAACTGGAGCCTAGCCTGTCATTTCCAAATCTTAAATTTGGATTATTTCATCCTACTGTCTTCAGAATACATCACAAAAAATTCAGAGACTTTATCTTATCGATCTTATAGATAATCTTGTAATCTTCAAAAAAGATCAACTCTTATCAATCTTTTTGTTAAGAGAGCTTAAACTATCCCTATAATATAATCCTTCTATAATCGGGATCATCCTAGTTACCCTTCCCTGAATCTTTTCTAATAAATCAATATCATTTCTAAGACAGGGAGACCAAAACTGTACCTAGTATTCCAACTAGTGATTTGTATGGAGTGATAATTACTTTTTTTTTTACTTGTAACTAGCTGAGGGCATTCGATAATGAAGCAAAAAGTATATAAAGGACGATGTTCCCCTTCTACCTTTTGTTAATAAATCCCTAACGACCTTATTAGCATACCCCGCTTTTGTGAAGATAATAATTGATTCATTAACTGATTAGGTATTCGTGTCTTTAAATTCAAAGCCCAAAAGTGTATAACAAAAGTGGAAATGTGCCCTATTTCAGGGTTGTTATCTCCCTTCTTGGGCAATAATCCTAAAACATGTACACCTCCTTCGGGCAGTTTCCAGTTACTATACGAAAAAGTACGGTAATTGAGCCAGTGTTGATGGATGCCAACACACACATAATGAATTATCTTTAGAGTAAAATACACGTGTCTTTAAATACACCCCACAATTCTATTAGCTTTATTACTGGCAGCAGAGCACTGGCTCGATAGCTTGGGTGACTTTTCCACCAATCTTTCACTTCATTCACGAAGACCTGTTACAAAAACGCATGCGCAATCAGTCTACTTCCGTTTTTAGTGCATAACAATTACCCTACAACTAGTCATTACTTGAATCACGTGTTTTTAATTATTACTATTTGCTACCACACCTTTCCTGTTCCACAGCTTCAGCCTTGTGCTCGTGCTTGTAGTGTTTGATCACCTTTTATCACACATGAAAAACTTTTAATATACCACAGTAACTTCAAATATCATTAAAAAAAAACACCAAACTTAATTAAGATGGATCCATCATTTAAAGTTCTATTGTATTAATATATGTTACACGGTTTTATATGTTTAACTGTGGTTATCAACATGTGAAGCTAGTGTCACGTGTCACTCACTCACTACCTATATATACATTTAAATACATACGTATGTAACGAACTGTTATTTTAAAATATAATTCTGGTAAAACGTATACGTCATCGTGAAACTTTAACGTGTTTCTAACACATTTAACACTAGAGATAAAAAGTGCACTGAGTGAACATAACACTGATCGAGTAAAATTCATGTTATTACATGCAATATACATTGGTGCTGATTGACGTTTATTGACATAAAATTAACCATTTACATTCTAACGCGCGTAGGCGATAGTTTACATCAAATCAGACAACAGTATATATATATATATATGTGTGTACTTTTAACCGTGACTAAATACTATTAAAAAAACAGCATTAATATGATTTGTTACTTACGATTCTACACGTACGCACCTAAATAAAAGTCAATTTCTTGAGTCTTAAAAAAAATTACTTGTTCAAATTCATCAGTATAAGATATTCTTACGATGCAATTATAATTTCAGTGACCTTGGTCAGATTTGCCCTAACAAAAAAATATTTGTTGTTTACACCCGGTTGTTGACAGCCATTTGTAATATAGGTTGAGTAAACCCATAAACTAACTGTATTAAAACAACACCTAAAACAATTCTGTCTCAGATTACTGACAGTATGCTTATGGATACTTTACGAAATTTCGTACAAAAACATAATAAAACTCAAACATTTACAAGTTAAAAAAAAAGTTATTCTTTCAGTGGATTTTTAACCAGAATTGGACCTTGCAGGCTTGATAACCTTAACGGTCTTGGACTACCTGTTGACTGGAAAGATAACGACGTTTCGTCTGCTATACTAAGTAAAGTCTCAGAATAGATGCCGAAACGTCGTCTCCTCTTTTAATTCAACAGGTAGTTGCAGACTTTTATAAAACTTTCAAATTAAAAAAAAAAATATATTTGGTAACCTGTCGATGCTCGCGACTCCTACTGTTATTTTTATTGTGTATGCTTCAATTACTTCCAGGTATAACAAATCTCGAAAAAAAAAGAGGAAAAACGAAATAAAAAGGGGGAGGTTGGAAATATCGGGTCCTCCCACTTTTCAAAGTATGCTTCAGAAATGTAGAACAACGTTAAGAAATTACTGGAATTTAATACGATGTTATATTTTCAAGCTATACTCACCCATCTTATTTCTGGCTGGCCTTTGTTCTAAGCCCAGTTGGCTATGTTGGTTTCCCATGTTTTGACGTAAGAACCCCGTTTTGTGCTACGTATTTGGCTTACAACTTTTTTTTGGTACCAATAATTCCGCTACTCCCTTCGAAACTTTTCAAAAAGTCGAATTTTCGTGATTATGAGTGGGAAGTCCAGTCTCCAGTGTAGTGTGTACAGTACGTCTTCAATGTGAGCAAGAACAGGTACAAAAACCCATGACCTACTCGGAAACTGAACACGGTTTGGATGAATTAAGAGTTAGTTACCATAACCAGATTTCTGCTTACGTGTTACACATTCACATATGTGAACCAAGAGTACTGTCAGTCAGGCCTAATGTGATCACAGTTCCCTAGATCATTTACTGTAACTACATGTGATCTAATCTTCCGAGGACGCAGGAGTTTATAGTCCTGGGAAGCCGCAACTCATGGGAAGGGCTATAGATTATACGTCCGCACAGTGTTGCATACCAGCGCAACTGGTTCTGCAGGCATAGAGCCACGTGACTGTAGAGGTATACATAATCGCCCGCCACTTTCTGTTGGTTCTCTGCCCCGGTACAACTACAGGGGCAAGTAGACACGGCTAGTCATTTTTACACTGAAACGTACAGACCTGTTATGCTTGGCAGAGCCACGTAGCATATTAGTAATTGTAGTGTTATTCAATACGCAAGATGAGCGTACATGAGCTCAATAACCAAAAATAGTAATATTAAATTTCCATCTAACTAAAAACAAGTGTTTAATAAAACTAACAACAACAACAAAATAAGTCGTAAACCTGCATACACACTGATAGATAGATGGGAAATATAAAAAAATGAAACTCGTACGCACATACAGACCGATGTTTTCCGCTGAGACAGCGGACTTACAACGCTAGAATTCGGGGTTCGATTCCTCGCGGTGGACACATCAGATAGCCTAATATGGCTTTACTCAAACAAAAATACAGACACGAAACCAGCATCAAAAGAGAATCCTGAACACACACATACAGACAGATGTTTCCCGCTGAGACAGCGGACTTACAACGCTAAAATTCGGGGTTCGATTCCTCGCGGTGGACACATCAGATAGCCTAATATGTCTTTACTCAAACAAACATAGACAGACACGAAATCAGCATCAAAATAGAATCCTGAATACACACATATAGACAGATGCGAAATTAATAGCATCAGAATATACAGAAACGTACATACACACAGATAATATATACATATATATTTATTGTGTGAAAATCTAACTGTATAACATTCAAAATAGACAGTCATGACGACACACGCATAGGCAGATGCGAAATTAGTAACATCAGAATATACAGAAACGTACATACACACAGATATATATACATATATATTTATTGTGTGAAAATCTATCTGTATAACATTCAAAATAGACAGTCATGACGACACACGCATGGGCAGATGCGAAATTAGTAACATCAGAATATACAGAAACGTAAATACACACAGATCTCTAAATTTATTTAACGTGTGCAAATCCAGCTACATATTTTCCATGCGTATAAAAATATAACAACATGAATTACTGTACAACAAAACCGGTATCTGATGCTTCTTACTTGGCTTACTGCTTACACGAAAATCACGTGAACAGGAACAGCCGATATCTGCTAATCCAGCCTGGCCAATCAAAGAGCTGGAGATGAAGATAACATTAGTTCACTCAAGATGTCTACGAGAACGACGGCCTAAACAATATACATTTAATCTTGTCTCTGCAGGTGTTTGCTGCAGCTCAAATACTGTCGTAGTTGACAAGTTTCGATGAATTTAAACAAGTTTGAAGTATCTGGATAAAGTAAAAGGTGCCACATTTCTGCAGAACTTCACATTCAAATAACTTACTCTAGATTGAGTAAAGTATCCGACGGGTTTGCTGAAAATAGTCCGCATGAATTAATTGTAAGTGATTTTGACGAAATTTCAAGGTCAACACACCTACGTAGAACTCACGCGTGAATATATTAGAGCTATGGCTGAAGGTCATCTATATATGACGCCACATTTTACCTTTAGGGTCATAACGACTCTCGTTCACCCTCCAAAGCCTCTAGATGTCAGCTTTATAAATGGTGTACAATATCCCAAAATAATTAAAATGAAAACTGTCAAATGGTACAACTAACGTAAGAATTTGGCACGTAATTATTTAACATTCCTTATACAATAATGTTTTCCTTAAAAACACGCCATATTCTCCAGCTTTTTTTACACCACTTTACCTCGAAATCACAGTGTAAAATGGTTCACTTTAATTCTGATTTTTTTTGTTTGTTTTGAATTTCGCGCAAAGCTGCACGAGGACTAGCCGTCCCTAATTTAGTAGTGTTTGTTTGTAGTTAAGCACAAAGCTACACAATGGGCTATCTGTGCTCTGCCCACCACGGGTATCGAAACCCGGATTCTAGCGTTGTAAGTCCGCAGACATTCCGCTGTGCCACTGGGGGCAATTTAGTAGCGATAGGCTAAAAGGAAGGCAGCTAGTCAACACCACCCACCGCCAACTCTTGGGCTACTCTTTAACTAACGAATAGTGGGATTGATCATAACATTATAACGACCCTGTATATTTGGTGACGGGGATTCGAGACCGCAACCCACAGATTGCGAGTTGGAAGCCCTAACCACCAGGCCATTGCTTAAATATCCTTTTTACTGTTTTTGATGAGACCTCTAAAGTAGGGGTTGGAAAATTATCTTAGAAATATGACCTTTCTTCACCCACGGTAAGTGTTAAAAGAATTAAATTAACAATGTGTTCCTGATATTTCTTTTAATGTCTTTTATAGTCCCTAATTTTGATTACATTAGTTTCGATTTCTAGAAATTCTTAACGGTTGCTATTAAAAAAGAAAAGTTTATCATCAATATTTGCATACTGACTCAATGTCGATAAATTACTGTAATATCCTTTTTTAAAGGCTGCTTTTAGTTTCTTTCAGAAAATCGAAAAGCTTCCAAACCAAAGGGGAACATAAATAAAAATCCCGACACTCAAGTTTAGAGATGTTCACTCGTGTTTCAAATACTTGGTCAATCAATCATGTACAAGAATGAAATGTATATCACCAGCCCACCAGTGCTTGTAATACTGAGGTTGACATGTATAATTTATCTTACCGTTATAAAAAAAATAAACAAAAACAATTTACCTCACTGTGTCTCCAATAACTACACTGGTAAGGTTACAGGGTTACTTTTTCTCTGTATATACAACCATTAGAGGTCAACAAACTGGCTCAATTCGGTTGCAGTACCAGTTTCAAATCGCCGTGTTATAGGCCTAGCCCATTGGAGTGATATAATTTTCTGTAGCATCAATACATGAAAATCACCGATGACGTAGTCGTTCATCACCTGTACAAAATAACTGTAGAAACGTTAATAATAACTAGGCAGTATTGATAAACGGGCACGTAGAAATAAATATACAGTGTTTTGTAAAACTGTATAAAAGTCAGGGTCAGCGCATGGATTAATTTAAACACACTGATGGCGAATTCCGAAGTTAAGGGTAAAACGCAAAATAAATAAAGAACTGGAAAATTATATACAAGAGCGCCTATAGATAAATAATATTTCGTAATTCGCGTAAACTATTATGCACCCACATTTTTGCGTTAAATCATATTTCTAATGCACATTTCTGTCCAGCGCCTTATAATATAATAATCACCCCCAGTGACTCGGTGGAATACTGCAGCTTACGAGATATATTACAGGTTAATTCTGTGTCAAATTTTATAAAATTGTTATCTCAACCGTTCCATAATAGATCAAAAATACGAAATCTAATACAGTATACAAAATCTGGGTTACTTATTACCAGTATATTTTACTTATAAATCGGATTATGGGCTTATTATTATTATTAAACGGTTGCCCTTTGATCACATGAACATGAGTGAAACTTGACTAACTACAAAAACAGAATTGCATTGTGTTTTTTATCACGAGACATTCGTTGTTTCTCATCGTTTGAATACTTGGGAAGCTTAGAAAAAAACTACATATCACCCTGTTACGATACAGATTATTTGCTTCTGATTGCTTCAAAGTAGGAAACTCGCCTAACGATAACAAAAGGCCTAATTCGTGGGTACTATTAAGCCAGATTCGTTTTAAAATCTCTTCAAACACGTAGGAAACACGCCTAACGATAAAAAAAAGGCTTAATTTGTGTACTGTTAAGCCAGATTCGTTTTTTAAGATCTCTTAACACGTAGGAAGCTCGCCTAACGATAACAAAATGCCTAATTTGTGTACTGTTAAGCCAGATTCGTTTCTTATGATTGCTTCAAACACGTAGGAAACTTGCCTAACGATGACAAAAGGCCTAATTTGTGTATACTGTTAAGCCAGATTCGTTTCTTATGATTGCTTCAAACACGTAGGAAACTTTACAACAATAAAACTAAAAGATATTTTACACGGTTCCAGAAACAAACTAACAAAATAATTTAACATTTGAACTGAACTTATACGTCAGCGAATAATATACACATAAATTATAAAACTAAAAACCTGACATTTGAACACGAGCGCCTTCGAAAGGCAGGCCTTCCTTATTATCCGTTTTAGGGGGTTTCTTCTTTTTTTAAAATGTATTTAAGATTTTTGATCCAACGTGATTTTTTTAGCATCGTTACTAGATTAGTTGAAAAAGAGATGATAACAAAGGTGGTTTTTAAAGTTTTCTATTTCGTTTTAAACTACGCTGCAAAATTCCGCCTTCTTAGGGAAGGGTTAAATTTTGAAATGACGCCAAAAAAAACGTCAAAATGACGTTTAGTTCCTGACACCCAACTGCATTTCCAAACGTCAGCCTCAATTTTGTTTTAATTCACATTTTTTTAAAAAAGGGGCCTATAAAACTAAATTTAGTCACTTGTTATTCAAACATACCCCAAAATGTTATTGTCCAGTAAAAATACAACACAAAACAAATCTTCTATCTTTATACTTGGCGCGTTTAAAAAAATAATCCTTACCTTAAGTAGTTCTAAAAAGTGAATGAATGTGTCACATCAAAATGTGATTAGTCGTTCAACAGTCTGTTACCATTCTGCAGCTACTTGGACACGTCAATGTTGTTATGGCACATTTCCGTTCACACACTGGGTGTAAATACACGTCACTGACATTATATTAACAGCATTAATCCACACACACACACACATTCACACAACGTCTCATCACTGAATAAGTGATTGTGTTCACTGAAGAAATGAGGTCTGGAAAATTTGACTAACCTCTTCCGGTTATTTGCGAGGTCAATGGCTATTATATATATATACATATAAGCACTTCTTCTGTTGACACTACAGAATTTTCCAAGTTTATATTACTTTACAGCAAGGATGCAGTGCGGCTGGAGCGTTCCGGAACAATGCTCAGGCGCTTGAAATCCAGAAATGCAAATTAAGTTTTGAATATGTGGTCGTTGATCTTATGGTGCCTC